CACCTCCGACCACAGCATAACATGCCACATCACCAAGGTTTCGGGGGGATCGATCGAAGCAAAATGATGTTGTTTGCGGTTTTCGTGGGTATCTGCATGCGTGCAGATGCGAGTTGCGAGCTTGTCAGTAGCTGGGGCGTGCTAGAACCTTAGCGTTCGCGAAGCGCGCGTGGATCTAACATATTGTTCTTGTTCTGACCATGCACACGTACATATACATACTTATATATACATATACATACATATATAGATATGTATGTAGATATGTAAGTCAGTATCAATGTATGTATGCTTGCATGCGTGCATGTGTGTATGCATACGTATGTATACATATATGTATATAGATGACTTCTCCCTGTCGCACACCCAGGCGTGTTGGTAGGGTAGGCGGGGCGTTCTATACTGACGCTTGAAATTTGCAAATGTTCCACAGGTAGAAGGGGGGTCCCACAGGGGCTCTCGCCTTAGCTCCGTGCGCATTCGCCTTAAAGTTTGCAGCATTTTCAAGGATGGAAGGTGGGGGGTAAGGGGGGTAGTTTTTGAAATGGAGCTCTCACCATACAGCTGCGCACATTCAAAGCTTGCTTGCAGCAGTTTCAAAGATGGCCAGGCGGTCGTTTTCAGAATCACCCTTCCGTCTTAGCGACGCGCGCAATCGTCTTAAAACATATTCAAAGGTGGATGGTGGTTCCTTTTCAAGTCGGGGCTCTCGCCTGAGCGCCGCGCACATTCGCTTTCCACGTTTGCAGCAGTTTCAAGGATGGAAGTGGTCGTTTTCAGCATGGAGCTCTCGCCTGAGCCTCGCGCACACTCGCGTATCAACACGTTGCAACGGTTACATGGGTGGAGAACGTTTCTTTTTCACAATGGGGAGTTCGCCTGAGACTTCCTTACCTTGCGCAATCAGCTGCTTGAGCATATACAGCAGCTTCACGGATTGAGGATACTTGTTTCAAAATGGGGTTTTCGCTTGAGATTTCACTGGAGTTCACGGCTAGAGGCGTAAGCCTGTGCAGCAGTTGCCCAGATGGGAACGGTCCCTTTTCCCAAAACGGGGATATCGTTGGTCCGAGGCGGGAATTCATACATGACCACCGCTTGGAGGGTCAGTCATCGGAGCCTCGGCAGGCGGTGGATCTGGACATTTTCGGGCCCCCGGGGGCCAAAACATATCCATGTCCACCGCGCGCTGGGGGCACCAGGACGTCGGTTCCCAGGCGGTGGATATGGATAAATTCCCGCCTCGCAGGATGGGCCAGGGCGGTCGGCGAGCAGAGTCGTCGTCGTCGTCGTCGTCGTCGTCGTCGTCGTCGTCGTCGTCGTCGTCGTCGTCGTCCTCGTCCTCGTCGTCGTCGTCGTCCTCGTCGTCGTCGTCGTCCGAGCGTCGTCGTCGTCGCAGTTGGACGCCTCGTTGAACTACATGGTGGTACTCGTCGCATTCCTCGGTGCTCGCCGGCAGGGCGCGGGACACGGCCCCTCTTCCGAGCGGAGCGGCCGCCCTAGAACGGCAGACCCACAGGGTGCTGGGCTTGCCACGGGGGCGGCTCTCGTAGTCAGTAGGATGGGTTGTTTTAGGGTTAAGTCGGGCCTCTCCCTCTACAGGAAGAATACGAAGCAATAGTAAGCACATCGTCTCGGGACATCTTTTTGGTAGACAACAAGTTTCTTTGTTTTGACTATTGGGATTGTTGGGTGTATTTTCAATTTTCGCCCAGGATCCGCCTGTCTGGGGGACCTGCCCGACCTAGTTTTAGGGACTTGAGATGAGGGAGCTCGGGACGGGAGAGTGTATCTCAGCACCGTTGATGCACCTTCGGTTCGCTCTGCTCCCCCTCCTTCCCCTCCTACTGCCTCTCATCCTTTCCTTCCTTCCCCATCCTTTCCCTCCTCCCCTCCTGCTCTCCTTTTCCTCCTCATTTTCCTCCTCATCGCCCATCGTCATCCTCACACCGCGCAAGAAGCCTCCGTCTCTTGCAGATCATGCAGGTGTGGGCCCGCCTCCCCGACCATACGTTGATACTCCGACGCCGTGCCGACGTCGACGAAGAGCGTCAAGGCAGCTTCCCAGGCGGAGTCCTTGTACTCCCTCTTCTCTGGCTTTTTTTCCTCCTGTTCCTCTTCCTCCCTCTCTCGCACTCTCGCTCTCTTGCTCCCCCTCTCACTCCCCCCCTCCCTTCCTCTCCGTCCCTCCTCTCGCTCTCTCTCTCTCTCTTCCTCCCCCCCTCCTTCCTCCTTTTCTGCTCCTCCTCCTCCTCCTCCTCCCCCCACGGCTCCTTCCTTCCTTATCCTCCTCCCTCCCTTCCTCCCTCCCTCCCTCCCTCCTCCTCCTCCTCCTCCTCCTCCTCCTCCTCCTCCTCCTCCTCCTTCTCCTCCTCCTCCTCCGCCTTCCTTTCGGACCCGTCAGGCTGCGCTCGTCCTCCTCCTGGACAGGTGTTAGGCGCAATCTGTGATTCAACAGAGGAGCCTCTTGCTATCACACTTCATCGCGCTCTTCCCCCACTCCCTCCCCTCCCTCCTCGCTCGTCCCCCCTCCTCCCCGCCCTCTCCCTCCCCTCCCCCCTCCCTCCCTCCCCTCCCCTCCCCCCCTCGCCCCCCCTGTCCTTGGGGGGGGGCGAGGAGTTGAGCGCGCAGGCCTCCGCCGCGGTGCTGGCAAGGCCAGGGCCCGCGGGCACCGACTACAACCGCTTCTGCCTCTTCCAGTGCCGGCCCCGCGACTTTTCCGTCGGCGAGCCAGCCTGGGTCCTCCTGCCTCTGCCTCGAGGGTCGAGGTTCGAGGAGGAGGAGGAGGAGGAGGAGGAGGAGGAGGAGGAGGAGGAGGAGGAGGGGATAGGATGAGTGGCCCGAGTAGAGGGTGAGAGGAGAAGAGTAGCATGAGGAGGAGGAGGAGGAGGAGGAGGAGGATGCAGGGTAGGAGATGAGCTGAGGATGAGGCGCAGGAGCAGGAGCGGAAGGAGCGGAGGAGGCGGCAGAGGAGGAGAGGAGGAGGAGGAGGAGGAGGACACGCACATGGCTGATGGGGTGTTCGATGTCCGCCGTGAGAGAGCACGGCTGACTATGGAGGGCTTGGTGCCTCCTCTTCACTGACCTTGGCCTGCTCTTCGCGCACCAATCTGGCCAGGGGGATTGCGGGGGTCTTCGAAATGATCGGGGAAGACTTAGAACCCTTGGGATCACGCCCCTCTTGGACACGAGCGAGTTGAGTAGCCGCTCCTTGGTGGCTCACTCGAGTGCCACAGTCTCCAGTGAGCCCTCGACCCAACCCTTCCGAGTAGGATCCACACTTATGGCAAACCAGAATACTCGTGGGATGATCCAGGTGCTCATAATAAAATAAATAATGGCCTTTATTATCATGCACGAGGTCTGACAGCTGCTTGCAGTGGCCTGGGCATTCCTTGGCCGCCAGCACTGCTCTCTGTTTGGTTAACTTTGTCTGCACCCTACACAGAATGCACCGATGATGTTGCGCAATTAAAGCCCACGCATGAATCCTCGTAGGTACTCTGGGCTCACGAGGGGCCTCATGAGGCACAGGCGGAGGAGGGGGCGGGGGAGGCACGACCAACGACGGCGGCGTCCACGACGACAGGGCAGAGGCAGCACCCGTGGGGGGGGAGAGGCTCTTCTCTGGGGCGGCCAAAGCTTTGTTCCTTCTGGGTGCAATCGCGGGCCACTCTCCCAGAGCCTGCGCAACGTACTTGGGATATTTCGTAACAAACTTCCTATCTTCGGCAAAATTGCACTTCTCATCTTCGCTGGGCTGAACGCCCTTGTGTGCTGCGGCCTTCGCTAAGCGATCCGCAGCGTCACTACCTTCTGCCATTCGACGGGCCTCGCTGCCTACGGGTAGGGCTTGTGCATCTTGATGGGCTTTGACCTTTTGGAGCCTCGACCCTCAAGGAAAGAGCCCTCGGCCAGCCAGGACTTTAAACCCAGCCCACATATTGCGACGGGGGTACTCGGTGCCTGGATGCAGCACTAGTACTCCTTTGTAGTCAGACTAATTTACTTCAACATTGCTAGACATAAGACTGGCCGCGACTGCAGCCAAATGCTCCGCGGCTCCCGACGTTTGTAAAAACATCTGGCCGACTCGGCCACTGAAAGATGCAAAAACGTTACCTTCTCTGAAACAAACTACAGCGAAACCAGCAGCGTTGAGCACATAGTGCCCATGATTGGTGCAACTGCCATATATAAACGCTTCCCCCTCGCTGAAGGCCTCTTGAGGGGTGATACCTTCTTGAGCACACCAAAACTCCCCAAACTCCAATCCAGATCCAGGAGGAAGCACTCCACGGAACTCAGGGACCAGCTGGAACCCAAGACGTAAAAAGGGGGGCCTGGGGAGGGGGCTCTCTTAAACGTTGGAACTCCGCATCCGAGAAGTGAGTGGCTCTGAGAACTTCAGTCTTCTGGCAGTGCAGTAATCTGCGGCAGAGGTTGTCCGAGTGATGGCCGCACTCGCAGCCGACTGGAACTTCATATCCTGCTGCTTTGGCTCTCTCCATGGTCCAGATACTTTGGGTGAGGAAGGCGAGTAAGGTGCCTTTCTGATGTCCAGTAAGGTCTGACGAGAGAGCCACCCGAGCAGCCGCAATGTCAAACTGAGCGTCCGCGTGGCCGAGCTTGACGGCCGCCTTGGAGGCGAGCTGGCCGTGCCAGTCGCGCTCCATGAGCTTTTGGGGGGAGGCGGGAGGAGGTCCTGGGAGTGGGTACTCAAGGCCTGAGGCAGTCACAAAGGTAAGCGGCCCTTGGAATTTACAACCAATGCGCTTCAACGACAGCACCGCCGCACTGAGGGGGGCCCTGGAAGAGCCCCACGATTCAGAACCCCTCGGGAGAAGGTTTTCAGCCCAAGCACGCAGTTGTTGGAGACTAGCCACGGCCAAGTGCGGACGGGTGTTCGCATCCCAAACTAAGCGATGCCACAGACTGGCGGGACCGAGGGCCGCTGTCCACAAGGGCTCCTGGAGGATGAGCAACGCCAGGCTGCGGCTGCGGGTCGAGCATCTCGGGCCCGCAGCGGCCAGAAACTGCGACCTAGCAGATCCAAGTTGAGTGCCGTTGATGCCAGTGACCTCGACTCCAAAAGTGGTGGCCGCTTCCAGGCCAGCCTTATACAATTTGTGAGTGTTGCCCCCCAGCACGTTTAAGCATGCGGGCCCTGTTAAGTCTTTTACGCATCTTGTCAAGGCGCTCCGTAAGTTTTCGAAACTTCCTCCATCTTCTCTGGGGGCGGCCAGCCCCAGATTCAACCCCCAGGTTGGGTCCCGAACGATCAGGGTTCGGGCCTGCCAGATGCCCTAGCTTGGTCCTGAGCTGGTCCTGCAACGCTTGGTGAGACGCTAGCACCTGGGTCTTCTTGCTGGCAATCTGGCACTTAAACTCGTGGATGATGCAATCCGCCATCGATCTGGCGGCCATGTTCAACTGGCTAACGATGAGGCTGAAACTGCGGCCGTGGCACTGTAGTAGCAACTCACCAATGAACGTAGCGAGTCTTATGTAGCTAGCAGGAGGAGGAGGAGCAGGAGGAGGAGGAGGAGCAGGAGGAGCAGGAGGAGCAGGAGGAGCAGGGGGAGGAGGAGGAGGAGCATGAGGAGGAGGAGGAGGAGGAGGAGCAGGAGGAGGACTAGTTTTAAATCAAGAATCATCAGCGATGTCGGAATTAGCCCTCCCTCCAAGGTCCCCCTTCATAGGCCCCTACAACGGTTCATTTCCATTGAGGGAGCTGCCTTGTTGGAAGACAACCGTTCGGAGATCCTGAAGCATGCCAAATCTTTGTTGTCGGGAGTTCAACGCCACGTATCAACCTGACTGCTGCGTCTTGACGATCCAGAATCGCCCCCAAACGTAAATTTTTGGACTTCAACACGGCGAGCCAACATAACTGCTGCACCCGCATTATCCTGAATCCTTTCCAAACACCATTTCTAGTACGTTTCATGGGAAATCCGTGAAACGCTTGATTGTTAAAACGAATGTGCGCGGCGCTGGGGGGAGAACCACAGTTTGAAAAGGAACCGCCCTCAATCCGTGAAGCTCTTGCAAATGTTGAACACGAATGTGCGCGGCGTTGAGGCGAGAGCCACATTTTGAAAAGGAGCCGCCCTCAATCAGTGAAGCTCGTGTGAATTTTTAAAGCGAATGTGCGCGGCGTTGAGGCGAGAGCCACATTTTGAAAAGGAACCGCCTTCAATCCGTGAAGCTCGTGTAAATTTCGAAAGCGAATGTGCGCGGCGCTGAGGCGACAGCCACATTTTGAAAAGGAACCGCCCTCAATCCGTGAAGCTCTTGTGAAGTTTGAAAACGAATGTGCGCGGCGTTGAGGCGAAAACCACATTTTGAAAACGACCCGCCCTCAATCCGTTAAATTTTTGCACATTTAAAGAACGAGTATGCGCGGCGCTAAGGCGAGAGCCAGATTTTGAGAACGACCCGCCCTCAATCTGTTCAAATTCTTGCACATTAGAAAAGGAATGTTCGCGGCGCTAAAGCGAGAACCACAGTTTGAAAACGGCCGCCCTCCATCTGTGAAATTGTTGTCACCTTTTAAGCTTCAGAGTCATAATTGATGAGGAAGTCTCAGGCGATACGCCAGGCCCGCCCTAAAAACTGGCCTCGGGGTGCGACAGGGAGAAGTTATCTAGAAGGAGAAGGAATGGGGACGGCCAGTGCAAACCCAAGACTCATCAACGATACCGCGATCAAACCTGCCTCCAAGCTCCGTCCTCATAGGTCCGCACATTTCACTGAGGGATGTGTCCCGTTGGAGGACGACCATTTGAAGTCCTGGACTGTGCCGAAACACATTTCCCGGGACTCCAACGCTGCGAATCAACGTTCCTGTTGCGCTCTGGCGAGGGGGAGGAGCATCAGCAGCAGCAGCTGCAACAGCAAGGGGTGGAGGAGGAGGAGAAGGAGGTCCGAGGGCCGAGCGCCGATGTTTTTTCCTCCTCCTCCTTTCCCTCTTCCTTCTCCCCTCTCGTCCTCCTGGTCCTCTCCCCCCCCTTCTCCTCTTAGTTTTCGTCTTCGCATGTCTCCTCCTCCACCTCCTCCTCCTCCCCTCTCGTTCTCCCGGTCCTCTCCCACCCTTTTTCCCCTTCACCTTCGTTTTCGCATGTCTCCTCCTTCTCCTCCTCCTCCTCCTCCTCCTCCTCCTCCTCCTCCTCCTCCTCCTCCTCCCCTCTCGTCCTCCTGGTCCTGTCCCCCCCCTTCTCCTCTTCGCCTTCGTCTTCGCATGTCTCCTCCTCCACCTCATCCGTGGAAGCGCCTGGGGAGCCGGTGCGGGGGCGGGCAGCGAAGGCGAGCCCTGCCTGCCGATCGACCCCGCGGCCGCCAACGAGAGCATGACAGCGCACGGCAACGGCAGGTGGGCACTGGTGAGGGAGGGCGGGGGATGCTCCACCGCCAGGATATAGATAGACTCTGCGTGCACGTATGTATGTATGCGTGTATGTATGTATGTACGCATGTATGTACGTACGTACGTATGTGCATGCATGTATGAATGCATGCATGCATGCATACATGCATGCATGCATTTGGGTACGTGTGTATATATGTACGTATGTACGTATGCATGTCTGTCTGTCTGTCTGCCCGTGTCTGTGTTTGTATGTATGTATGTGTATGTGTATGTATGTATGTATGTATGTGTGTGTATGTGCATGCAGATCTGTATGTATGTTCGCATGCATGTATGTATAACTACAGCTACATGTGTATACATATGTGGGCATCTGTGTGTTTCTTAAATATACATGTCTATGCACATACATGTGCGTGTGCATGTATGTATGCATGTGTGTCTGCCGTTCTGCCTGTCTGTAGCTATGTTTGTATGTATGTATGTGTGTATGTGTGTATGTAGGTATGTAGATATGTATGCATGTACGCATGCACGTATGTATATTCACAGCCGTATGTGTGTATATATGTATAGGTGTGTGTTTGATTATATGCACCTGTCTATGTACAAACGTGTGCGTGTGTATGTGTATGCCAGTGTGTATGCATACATGTGTTGGCACAAAAAGAAAAAAAAAAAAAAAAACTACAAAAAAAAAAAAACAAAAAACAAAAAAAAACAAAAAAAAAAAAGCAAGAGTAAAAAAGGGGGGGAATTAGAAAAAAAAAAAAACATACAAAATAAAAAAAAAAAAACAAAAACAAAAAAAAAAAAAAAAGAGAAAAAAAAGATAAGAAATGTGGAAAAAAAATAAAAAAAAAAATAAGGAAGAAAAAAAAAAAAAAGAATAAATAAAAAAAAAAGCAAGAAAATAAAATAAAAGAAAAGAGAAAAAAAAATAAAAACAAAAAAAGAAACAACAAAAAAGAAAAAAGGACAAAAAAAAGAAAAAAAAAAAAAAAACAAAAAAGAAAAAAACAAAGCAACAAGCCCCCCCCCCAGCACCCACGTACCGTCTTCTTTTCTTCGATGGCGGTCTTCTCGCCTCTCCCCTGTCGTTTCCCTTCTCTTCCTTCTGTCATTCGTCGCCATCATCTTCTCCTCCTTCTCCGTCTTTCTCCTTCTTCCTCCTCATCATCCTCATCATCCTCTCTGTCGTCCTTCTTTCTCCTTCTTTCTCCTTCTTCATCCTCATCATCCTCTCTGTCGTCCTTCTTCTTCCTCCTCCTTCTCGTCATCCTCTTCCTGTTACTGCTCTCCCTGCTGCTGCGGTCTCTCCAGCTGCTGCTGCTGGTGCTGCTGCTGCTGCGGCTCCTCCTCCTCCTCCTCCTCCTCCTCCTCCTCCTCCCCTCTTCTTCCGATGAGGCAAGAGAGAGAGAGAGAGAGAAAACAAAAACGAGAAAGAGAGAGAGAGAGAGACAGAGGGAGAGAGAGGGAGGGAGGGAGAGGGAGAGAAAATCAAGGGAGCAGGGATCGTTGTGAAATTACAACTTTTGCGGGACCAGAGGGCGCCAAACCCTGTGATGTCAGTTGGATCTTCGGATCGTTGGAGGGCTGCAGCGTTTTTTTGGATGGTATGAACTCCTAGAAACCCCGCAAATTCCAATTGCATCAACGGATTTTGAGGATTCGCATCCAAGAATCCCAGACATCCTATCGACATCACCCGGGGTTGGCGCCTTCTGGTTCCGCACACCCTGTGGTTTCCTGTGGGATTTCTGGGGTTCAGGGCCCTGGAGAGCTGCAAGCGTGGATTTTCGTTGGGGACTGCAAGCAAGATCCTAGACATCCGCAACATCCAAACACAATGGTAGGGTTTCTGGGATGCTCGTCCCAGACATCCCGGACACTCCAATGCAATCATAGGATTGGGCGCCCTCTGGTCTCGCGGCCCCTGTGATTTCACAGGGGGTCGCTGCTCCCTTGACTCTTTCCCTCTCCCTCCCACTCTTTGGGAGAGGGGGAAGAGGAGGCGGAGGAGTGGGGGGAGGTGGATGACCTGGAGGAGGAGGAGGAGGAGGAGGAGGAGGAGGAGGAGGAGGAGGAGGAGGAGGAGCATCACAGAAGGAGGAGAAGGATGAGGACCAGCAGGAGGAGGGAGGAGGAGGAGGGACAGGCGCAGGAAGGGGAACGCGGTACAGCATGAAGAACCACAACATCGAGGAGATCAGAGAGAGGAGAGATCGTTGCCCTTCGAGTCCCTCTCTCTCTCTCTTTGACTCTCGCTCTCACTCTCTATCTCTCTCTCTCTCTATATATGGATTCCTATCCCTCTCTCTCTGTCTATCCCTCTTTCTCTTTCTTGCTTTCTCTCTCTCTTGCTTTCTTGCTCTCTCTCTCTCTCCCTCTCTCTCTCTCTGTCTCCCTCTCTCTCTGGCCCTCTTCATCGGAGGATGGGACCATAACGTAAACAAACATACGGAAGTGGTGGCCGTGGAGGAGTGAGGACGGAGGATGAGGAGGAGGACGAGGAATCTCCTCATCCTCATCCTCTTCCTCCTTCTCCTCCTTCTCCTCCTTCTCCTCCTGCTCGTTTGCATCCTGTTGTTTTTCCTCCTCCTCCTCCTCCTCATGCACCATTTCCGC